GAGAGGAGTCCACAGGAAAGCGAGTTTGTATCATAAGATACCCCCTTTAGAGTGGGGTTCCAATAAAAAACAAAACCATATTACACACAGTGAAGAAGCTTCAAGCTTTCCATCACTGTGATGTTCCATTTTGTTGCAGCCACAACTTTTTTAATACCTATTTTAATGTCTTAAAGCATGGTTATTGAGGGACAATCTATGCATCTCACACACACTTCTGTAAGGTATGCCTTTAAGTAACAGTAGCTGTATTTTATATTTGTAAAGGTAATTTGATTTGTAAAAACATATTCATACTTTTAAAAAAAAAGGCAGATCGTGACTTTTATTCTGGTATCTCTGCCAGTGACCACTTATCTGTCTGGAGTGAAATCAACAGCATAATGTATAAACTGAAAAATAATTTGCATTATCGCATTTTGTTAGGCTAAACAAACCACCTGTTCAAATAAGTAGGTCCCATTATAAACCAGATGTTTGTTCTACCAAAAGCAAATGGAGGACTTACAAGGTAACAAAGCACTGTTGTCCAAACCCTGGTCTTTGTCTAAACATACAAATTGCAAATACCCTGTACAAATACACAAATCATAGCACTTCTAAAAATGGCACCGTTTCACAATTAGGCTGTTGTGTGTGACCTTCATTAGTTTTCTCCCATTTTAGCCGTTGGTGTTGTTCTAGAAGCACACCAAGTAAACAGAATCCAGAGAACTGAGCTTGCAATACAGCAACCAAGCTCTATCTCCACAGGCAGCTTGTATCCTTCATGTTTGCACTGTGAGTCCACACACTGCCTTTTACAAAACCACATTTTAACGCACATCAAACTAAAAATGACACCTCCTGTTAAGGAAAGATTAAAAGCCAAACTGCAATGGTGCAGCTACAGTAAAGCAAGACGTATTTTAGCTATGAGAAGGTGTTCCTTCTCTGCACAAGGATGTGATAATATTAAGGGTCAACATGAACAATATCTTTTCGTGCACTTAACCGTTTAATCTCAAAAAAAAAATGAGTAATACTCACAGTAAGAGCATGCCCTCATGATCCATATTCTTACAGGCAGCCATTAAACCTACTCATTCTATTTTTATTTTCCTTACACAGCAAAGTTGGCAAGGAAAACACTTCCAGACCTCCCCCTGGAAAGATTTTAATTTTGGCGTGAGCTCATAAGACTGTTAAACACTTCTGAGAGTCCCACCATCTTCTTCAAATACATCAGTATCTTACAAGGAAGTGATTCTATTTCATCCTCTCAAGTACAACCAGCATAAGTTCCTTGTGCCAGTATAAAAAATAAGTATATCCATAAAAATATACCATTCTAGACACAGTATGAAACCTATCTAGCTTTGAGGAATCATTAATAATTGAACTGCGAGAGTATACTAATGCAGGCCACCAATGTGCTATACGATCAGATTGCAGCTGTATATTATCCTCCTTTTAGCACAAATTAAATTATATTCTAAATTTTCATAAAACTTGGAAGTCAAAATAGAGATTCTGATGAGTTATAAGGAAATGCTAATAAACCGTTAGTCACCCTGTTTGTAATAAGTAGAAACACATTTCAAGAAAACTAAATTAAATGCATGAAATCCAAAGTAAATACCTACCTGATATTGGAGAACATCATTTCAGTCCCTGAACTGCCACTGACCCAACGAGACAAGAAAGGTTAATTTTGTTGGGGCTTGTTTTCTTGCATTTTTTTTGTGGCTTTAGTTTGTTGGGGGTTTTGGTTTGGGTTTTGTCTTTTTTTTTTTTTTTTTTTTTTTTTCTGCTATTCCAGCACTAAAAAATTGAAATGGCTGCTACAACACACCTACTTAATCAAGATCCCTGGAGTTGTAAGGAACACCCACAAAGCATCATGTGCACCAAAAAATACTGAATTTTCCAAAACTAAGAAGGAATTTTTGGGATGGGGGAAGCAACTGAATATCATGGACAGGCTTTCTTCCTAGCAATAACAACCTTCCTCAGGTACTGTTTATCCAAGCATTACCTCTCTCATCAAGACAAACTCTTTATACTGTCATCAAATTTTATAGGTCATCAGTTAAATTCCTTTTAACTGAACATAATATTTATTAACATCTTTTAGACATACAAATCAAAACATTATGACTAACCAGGCTGCTGGAAGGAGAGCACTGAGGCTCAATTCCTCAATGTGTAGTGTCACTATGAGACAACCACATAACTCAAGTGTCGAGTTAAGACTCTGACTCCTCCTACTTTCTTTTTATTATCCTGAGGCATCTAATGATAGTACCCAACAACAGTACACATACCTCATTGCCCACCTGCACTAACAATACATGGGACTCATGCCCATCCATAGCAAAAATTGACCATTCCAGTGTTGGCCTCATAAAATAACTCACAAGAGATGACTGTACAGAATAGCCTTTCTCCAAGTTCCATTTCCAAAGAATAATCCTGGGAGAGCTTTATTCTTTTATCCTTACAGTAAATTACTTTTTTTGGCTCAGAGCTTTAAGATTTTACTGCTTTTTTAAGTTAGCGATGAAAGATTTAATCAGATTTGTTAGATTTAGCTACTGAACACAGGCTTTACCAGAACTTTCGAAGCTGCAGCAGGAGACACAGTAGAAGTTCCCAACCATAAACACTACTGGAAATATTTTGGATTGACCATGGATTTCCTCCTAGTAATCATTCACAGCTTGAGTTTAGCAATAAAGAAATCCATCATCGTGCCCCCGGCACCATCTGGGAGATCAGGCTTTTGGCAGTGAAAAATGGAGCAGCAATTGTCTAGCAGCACAGGAAATCAATGACTTCCCTGCACAGGGGTGAGCAACAGGCTGCCCCTGCTGAGCACGGGATCATTCATTTCCCTTTCTGCCAGCAAGGCTGCTTTGTACGTGAAGCAAGCAAAGTCTCCCTTTCTCTGGCAGGACACCCACACACACACCTTCCCCCCCAGTCCTGCCCCTACCAGCGGGGTCAGGCAGCGAGCTCTGCAGTTTCAACTGTACAGCCAAAAAGTAAAGAAGTGTGGAGACACCAGTCTCCTGAGAGAGCCTTTAGAGACAAGGGGTCTGGGCTACGAGGTAGGTAAGAAATGTCCCAGTACACCACTGATTCAGGGCCAGGAAAACCTGGTCTTCCCTTTATCCACAGTAGTAGGAGAGTACTATTTACTTTTAGCAATTAGAGGTCTAAAACTGGTGTAAAGGTATTTTTCCATTTTAAGCACAACCATGAAAGGGGAGTTTAGAATATAAGAAAAGAAAGCATATTATCCAGGAGACAATAGGCCACATTGGCATCCTTCCAGGCTACACTTCGTCATAGCTAAACCACAAGCTTATTTACATATACAATACAAAACAGATATGCATCCCTTTTTATTGAGTCTTTGCAGGAACTGGAATAGTCACTCAAGATCTTCTGTCAAGGTCACAGCAGAGACCACCACTGATCTCTGCAGCTTTAAAATCCCAACTCCTTCCCCAGATTTACTATCCTTAGTGCTCCCTGGAGGATGAGGCAAGGTAAGAAGGATAGGAGTTGATAGTTTGCTGCAGGTAAGAAGAACTTCACATGCACATTTTTGCTCCAGGTCAAAGTTCCCAATGAAGTCATGGTAATGGGATCATTACAGGCATGTACGCAGTCATCAAGAACTAATCTACTGTCCGTAACTGGTGTCAGAAGTTACTGATACAAAACAGCAGATGGAAGGGACTTCTGGGCAAGCCAGACTTGGCCCTGATTTGAACCAGTGCTCTGAATAAGCAGCTTGTCCATTAACCAGCCCTCTCTGAGATCCGAGGGTACTGCTGTCATGTTCCCAGAGCTATGCCTGCATATTAACCCCACCTGCATACACGTCAGGATCACCACCAGATTTAGCCGACTGAGTATGTAACATCTCCCAACAGCTACACTGCTATCTGCGTATCTGTGAATTGTTGAGCCCAAAATCTGTAAAACACAGCTGTATTACTTCAGAAATATCTTGGTCTCTAGCAGCTTCTAGCTTCTCAGGGAGACTGTTCACTTATCTTTCTACCCACATTTTATACATCCATCATTTCTCCAGTTTAATAAGTTACATCTGTAAATGCAAGTATCTGCCTATTTCTCTAGAGTCACCGTTGCTCTAGATCAATTCAGGTCATGCTGAAATTAGTCTTGCCCTTCACCAGGTTAACAGCTTCTCCAGTTTTGCTATAATTAATATATGTCCGTAGATAAATTACAAACAAAGTGAAAGACGAAAGAGAAGTAGAATTACTCTGTAATATTTTATTTTTGTGCCTCCATCCCTAAATTCAATAAGTAACCTCAAAAATCTCACCCTAATGCAATTTAGTAAGTCAGCAGAAAAGCAACACTGCTTGAAGGTAGTTCATAGAAGAAATAACATGTAACCTACAAGACACTCCGCAATAAATGTGGGCACCACATACAACCCTACCTGTTTTCCTGCAAAAGGGAAAAAGCTCACTCATTTCGTAAGTTTGCACCTTCTTCATAGTCCATTCTAGCTGCAGTAAGATTCATCATTTGGTCACTCTGGACAGCAGGAGGCCTGCATTTATCATGGTGGAATGTGTCCTCACTGTTCTTACAGTTTATGGAAAGGCAAGTACAATGACTCATAAAACTGCTGCAAGAAAAAGCTGAAACAAGTTAACAGAATGAGCTTCTTTAAAATAACATCCTTCATCCTACATTTCCGGCATGCAAAGCCAAAACCACATCACATTTTCGACTGACAGATTTAGAGCTCTTATTTATCATAAATAACAAGACCATCACTGAGGCCAAGTAATGCTTCATGATCTGTTGTTCCTGAACTGCTCACAGATCTTAAGTATACTATAAGCAGCTGGAAGACCTCATTCCAAGTTCTAGGAAAAAAAAAGTATTTTTTACTAATGTACTATTTTTTTCCTTTTGGAAAATTATATTTTCTTCATGCTGAGAACGTTCATCATGAGAATTCTTACCTGTTTTCCATCTAGTGTGTATAAGCGTTTAACCACCCCTGAATCCAGCTTGATGGCATCAGTTATATCAGTAAGAACCTGTTCAAATGAATGTGCTGTCTTCTTGTTGAGCAGAATCCGGACTGCTTTCCGTGGTTTCACTCCGCTTCTGATGATAGTGACTAGTTTAGGCCTAATGAAATCCTTATTCTCCTTTGCATCTGGAGTACCTCCTTTAGCAGTGGCAAGAGATGGCACTGAACGAGAAGCCGAAGTTGTCTTAACATTCACTGACCAGTTTGGGTTTACATTCTTCGTGTACTCCAGTTTCTTGAAGGGTTCTATGGAACCACATACATAGCTTTCCCCTGCAGAAACAAAAGTGCCAGACCACCAAGTCAGATTGGAGGGGGAGGAAAAAACCAAACAAACCACCAAAACACCAAAAACAAAAATACCAAATCAAATCCTTCTCAAATCATTAAGTATTATTCTTAGCATTCTTGATCTGCAGTGTATAAAGTATTGATATCTTCCCTTCTCAGATGCTACAGACTATAAAATATCTTTTAAAGGTCACTCATCAGCTAACCGTTCAGAAAATGCTGTTACAAAATCCTTGAAAGCAGTAGTTTTCTTTTCAGAAAACACCATCTGCAGTGGGGACCGCTGCTGTCAGTAAGTAGTGTTCCTATCTGTTCAGCCCCAGCTCATTATCACAGTAGTCACCCAGCCTTCATGCTTAAATGGCCCACTCTTAGACTCCAAACACTTTGGAGGAAATAATATTAAACATTATCAAGAACTACAGGTTACCAATAACGTTCTATAAAAGGTGGATGAAAATGTCATAGGAGATTTGTTAACATTTGGTTGTTTAGAGCTTTAAGTACCATAAACCCAGGATATGTATAGGCAAGAAATTTCAATGTATTATTCCGCTGACTCAATATATAATATTGGGAGGAAAGGAAGGCAAGGAGTAGTAATTACAGAGTTCTCCTTACAGCAAATTTACCATATTTTTTCCTTTAAAGTGGATTATAGCTCATATTTCTATTGGAGCATTACCTACAATAAAGTATTTTTGCAAATACCACACCCACACAATTTCTGGGGGACTAGAAGATAGACAGAAAACACCAGGCCATTCCTGTTGATTAACACCTTAATGCAGCCCAGCTGCAGGCTGCTGTGAAAGGGGCACCTGCTCGGGCGCTCCCAATCTCTCCCTTGAGAGGGACTGAGCGACTGCCCTGCCAGTCACACTGGGTGAGTTGGGTCAGCTCAGTGACCTAACTGAACATAACAAAGACAATACTAATTTTGCAACAAGGAGCTGATCCAGTTCACTCTGGCTGAAAGAAAAACAAACCAACAAACAAATACAACAATAGCAGATCCAGAAAGACCGCACCTTCTGACAGCCTGCAGTTAAACTCCATTACAAATAATGCAAAATCCTGTCCTGAACAATACCACAAAAACATTTGAGACATTTTAATTCTTCTAGGTTCAGTAGTTCAGTGTATGCCAATAGCATAGAGGCCTTCATGTTAGCAGTTTAGCCCAAGGTATTAAAATAAAAACAGAACAAATCTCAGTGATGTACCTCCCATGCCAAAAAGCACACCGAACCAAAGATTTTCCTAATGATTCCCCACTGGAAGGAAAGCGGACTCACATTTCAACTATTAAAAGAAAAAGTAGCATTTAAATTTTACTTCTGGTCACAAAGTTTAAGGTTTCAGGGCACCCAACGCAATTCCACAGACACTACAGCACACAAGAAATGCTGACAGATACACAACTACCACAGTTAGAAATGGGGGGGGATCCACTGGGACATGAGGCCCCCAGATGCAACAAGGGGTCAAGTCTTTGGCGTGGTGCTCCAAAGGGGAGACAGTAAGACATTGTACAGGGATTATGAGAAAGGCAGTGGAAGGACTCCAAAAGAAGGCAAAGAAGTCAGGGCATCATGTGAAGATGGACCACTGAGCAGAAAAGATACATGCAATGACAGCATAAGGTCAAGTAAGAACCGCAGAAAGATTTGGGGTTTTCCTTTTTTTTTTTTTAAAGCATTCTTTTAAAGCAGAACAAAATACCAAGTGGGAGATGAAGTAAGACATTCCAATGCTTACTAGTCATCGTTTAAATCAAGTTAATTCATACTTTGCAGTAATATCTAAAGTGTTAAGAAAAGGATCTAAGATGGAATGCTTACCAACTTTACAAGAGACAAAAGTAAGCTCTTCCTTTTATCCACTTTATATATATGATATATATATATATATACATATACACATACATATATATATATATATATGGTAACATCAGAACAGAAAGGCTTAGCCACACTAATGATCCAAGACTGATCAAACAGTATGTACTCTCTTTTATCCATGTCCCGGCCCAACATTTTTAGCACTAGCTACTCAATTACTGCAAGGTCAGAATGCATCCACAACACTCCATACAATTAACAAGCTTTAAAAAACATTAATAAAATGGGAACAAAAATTTTTAAAGATTCTACTATGAATAGGACTATACTCAATACACTAAATACCTGTTCTATAAAATGCTTTACAGAAGTCTCTTTTATACATTTTTAAACAAAATTTATTCTTGTCTCCACTTGTGTTTGCTGCAAGACGTAAAATCCACCAGCAATTTTTGTTGGGGTTTTTTTGTTTTGGTTTTCTTTTGGGGGGGGGGGGAGGGTGCAGGGGGGGACTGCTTTAACATCAGACTTTTTTCCCCTTCTTCATTTCCGACAGTACTATATTACATCAATAAAATTCTTGCACTAGGATATCTTTTTTTCCCCTTGAAGAGGCTCATATTTAGCTACAGAGTAGCTTGGAGGTAAAAGTATCCAAGGCCTTCTAAGATGAGACAGCTCTCCCATAATGCTGTTATTTAAGACTGTTTATACTTCAAGCAAAGTGCTGGAGCTTATAAACCTTCAGGGATGTTAGCCAGGGACTGCAGTTCCCATTCACGGTGGTCCTAAGGACCAGGCCTGTAGGAACAAAAACTAAATGGACAAAACCCCTATGTCCTAAAAGTATCTTATATCTGATCTTAAGATCAGCAAACCCTGTTTATGGTGACATCCAGCAAATTTTAAGTACTCAAAACACTAGAAACGCTCAAATACAATTTCCCGAGCATGGGACCCAGCCTTACAGCACCCAGAAATTTCAATCTCTAGCCTAATACTTTAGTGCCCATGGTGTTTATATGCAGAGGAAATCTCAAAGAAAAGGACAAAAAGCCTTCACCTATATTTTCGTTCTTTTTCACAGTTACTTTAAGGAGAGATGACTGCTAAGAAGCTTCACGAGGGCTATGACTTCCTAGTCAATAAATCCACCTTGTGCCTTAACTATTGCTTCCTCACCAAAACTATTAGGTGATGACACAATTTTATTTTTTTAATTTTTATTTTTGGTAACCTTTGGCTATAACTGCCTCACAGACAACCACCTCAGCCCTGCGACTTGTACCCAAGGTCAGAGAGAAGCTGTGATCTACAGACAGGCAGTGCCAGCAGCAAGTTTATTTTCCCAGCTCCGAAGCACCAGGTAAATACATGTCCAGGGGTAATCTCACTGAGCACCATCAGCTCTTACTGTGGGTCAGGCCTCCGCACACATACAGCCCACAAACATCAGCTCTGGCTAACTGGCAGATGAAGGAAGAAAGTAACAATCTCCAAACACTAGATTTGTGACAGATCACGTGCTGAAGAAGGAATCTTTGGAGATACTGGATTAAACAAAAGCATAGAAAAGACAGCTCGTTTTAAAGTGTCTGACCACAGCTCCCCAGGAGAGGGGAGCGAGCATTTCACAGTGTAGTCAGCTGTCACTAATGAAATTTTGACTCTTCATTACAGTATCAATAGCCATTAGAAAAAGAAAAGGAGGACACCCCGCTGTTTTGGGATATCTGACATCTAGGAAAAAAAGTTATTATTAAAATCTTAGAAAGTATCCCTTTCCTGACAGCCCTCCTACCTCTTCACAGCAACAGTGCAAATGAAACACACTCCACTTTAACCATTCAAAAAAAAAAAAGATCCTCGATGCTTGTTTGTCAGTTTAAAACCAGTAATCCTCCTATTTGTGTAAGTGCTCAAACACAGCAGGAAATTCCATGTGGAACAATTAAAATAAATCTTAGCATTGAGAAGCTAATCAGAAAGCTAGTCATGTAGAAGGACAGATCTCAAAACACAGTTTATGTTTAAAAAAAAAAAAAAAAAAAAAAACAAACAAACAAATAAAACCCTAGTACCTGCAGTTACACATCTGTCAATTCAATGCAGCTGAACCACTGGAGCCATGTAACACTGAAGGATAGTTCTTATAGGCCACAACAGTTTTTCATTACATGCTTCATGTATTAAAAATTTTTAAAAATAATATCCACGAGAAGGTGGCTCCTAAGGAGACACTGAATCACTGCCCTATAAGTACTGGAGCTTTGTGTTGAGTCCCTCTTCGGCATACTGATACTAGCAGTCAGTTTGTTTCCTTCAGCTTGAAGATACTCTCGCTACAAGAATGATGAAGGCATTATCTCTAAAAAGGGATTATTTGCATTATTCTTCCGTGCTAAAAGTGACTTGGCCTTAAAATGGCTTCATAAAGAAGCCAGTTGATCTCAGGTGAAAACCCTGGAGAAGGAATAGAGAACCTGTTTGAACCTTGCAAGCTGAAGGGAAACGACTAACCCCTCTTTGTGGAAGTGGCAGGACTGCCAATTTATTGAAAACTGCCGATTCCTTGTAGCAGAGTACATACTAGGAAAGGAAAATTAATCTAGCAGCCCACCAGAGGTGGAGGAACCATGGTGCTCACACACTTTGGTAGTGAGGATGTTCAGCGCAGCAGTCGCTCGTTGCAGCCCCTCTCCCCAACGGATAGGGCAAAAAATAGATGAAGAGACCAGGGAAAGGGACCGGCACCCCCAGCGCCCTGTTCAGCAGGCACACCCGTCCTTCTTCACTTCCACCCTTTGGATTTGTACATACAAAAGGCACAAGAGCAGTATCGCAGTGGAAAGGACAGAATTCTGACTATCCCTCATCATGCAGAGCAGATTGCAAAAGGAAGATGACCTGAACCAAATAAGTTACTATCTGACAGTTCCCAAATGTGTTAGTTAGAGCAATAACCTACTTAAACTACAATACTGCTGCCTTGTCTTTCTGCAGTTTCTGAAAAAATGCAACAGTGAAAAAGAGACGGAGCATCTACAGGAAATAAATCTGGCCTACCCATGTTCACCTAGCAATGAGATGCATCAGAAGCCTTAAATCAGATCACCTGAGACCTTTTAAAGGACTGCTTTCACACATCATTCTTTCTGCTCAGCTCAGACTAAAAATCTGGGGGTTTCCTCATCAAAAGTTTAATGAAAAAGTAAAGACATATTTCTTCCCCCTCTACCCCCTGAATTTCCTCAGTCTTGCTAAAAGCAAGATAGGCATTGTAAGCTTACAAAAAAAATAACTGGAAAGCACCTAGAATAAGAAACCATGGGACCTTCCAAGAAGTTGTTAAGGAAAACACAAAGTGAATCAACTGGCTAATGGACTAATCTTCTCAAATTCATGAAATAAAATAATCAAATAAACAGTGCCAGAACAACCCTCTACCATTTTATGCAACAGGATTATTCAGCTGTTTGTTTATTAAACAATGTAAGGATTGCAGGCATTTCTGCCACAGGATCCAATCCAAGTTTCACTAACTTTGATAGCCCTGGATCAAGTCCATAGTAAATATCCACTGTAAATTCAATCCTATAAACAAATGTCCACATAGATTCAGCTCTACATTTACACAGATACTTCACTATTATTATTTTGATGGCATATTACAGATGCATATGAATCTTTCCAGCCCATCAATTCCCAGATGCTGAGGTAGGCATGACTTAGAAGAAAGAGCATTAGCTCCAGAGTGAATTAGAGACCGCGTCAAACAACTCCTACAGTCTGACCTGGCTGGGATTCTCACCAGCATGGCTGGAGCAGGTGGCAGAGTCAAGGAGGCAGCAGTAGTAGCAGGTAGGAGAGGGAAAAGGTGAGATAAGAAGAATGAGGCGACAGTGTGAGTGAGTAGCTGCCTGCCTCCACTCACAAGAGCCTTCCCACAGTGCTCATGTCACCCACCATCTCCTCCGCCACTGGAATGAGGTTCACATCTCCTGAGAGTTATTAGCCAGTTAGAGCCATTACCAGATTTTAAAACCGGTGTATCTGTGCTCTTTCAAACTGCTCCTTCAATGAGGATTTCAACTGCAAGATAACCCCTGACAAATATTAATTTTTCTTTTACAGATTATTCCCTAAAACTATTTTTTGCCATTATGCTTACACAAAATGTACATGCATGCATACAAGTCTTTACAATATTTTGGCAGTGCACCTGATACTGGCATGTGACAATACTGTTTCCCAGTACTCTCTCAGCCATGTGCTTTGGGGTTTTTGATTTGTCACTGACTGCCAGTTCTCTGCTGCACAGTTCATCTTTTGTGGTGGGTATCGTGAAAACCTGAAACAATTGATTCTGGTTCATACTCAAAACTCTGAGGTGATATTATAATAAAAATTAATGAGAAAGGGATGCAGTTCTGGCTATGGATTGATTCTGTGGTCTTTGTTCCACACAGCAGGACCCCAGGAGTAAAAACTATAAATAATACTCTGTTTCCAAGTTATCCTGTTCATCCCAATCTATTACTGTTTTTGTTACACTGTTCAATGGTAATTTTGCAGGTAAGACTCACCAGTCCACCTCTGCCTTCAGATTTAAAGATGGTACACTTTTGGAAAAGCAAAAGGCATTTAGTCCTTTCCTAAGACTTTGTTTACAGCTAGACAATATAGCCTTAAGAGCAACTTCATTTTTACTGTTTCTATGTCATCCCTAGGGAAAAAAGTCATGTCACATTTGGAAACCATTCTTTAAAAGTAAGAGGGTCCTGAACATCAGGTCTGACGAAAAGAAGGTAACCTGAATCCATTGCATTCATTCCTTCATCTAAGGTGACAGGAGAAGAGAAGTTGAAGGCGTGTGAAACTTTTTACAACAGTACATACCCCTTGTTATCAAATTCTAACAAACTTCACCACTCAAGTCTTAAAAAAAAAAAAAAAACAAACCAAACAAAACAAAACAACAAACCCCAACAAAACAACAGAAAAAAAACCCTAGGGAAGTCATTAGTTTCAAATAAAAGGAAGATGTGTCCATGCACCTCAAAATAAACTACAGCACCAGCATACAGCCATGCCAGCTCTGAACTGTATGCTGGACAAAACTAAATATTACCAAAGCAAAACAGCTGCTTTACAATCTTTTTCCTTTGGGACTATCTTTCATGTATTTCTAGGTATTTGGTTCTGGGATGAAAGACAGTGGCTGCTGTCTTGTTTCCCCCAGGATCTAGTTGCTTCTCTGTCTTCATGTACTATGCGGGAAGGTAAGAGTACAGTAACTTCCTCACAGGCATAAAGACAAAAAAAAAAAAAACACCAAATCAAGGCCTTACATATTTACCTTACAACATCATCACCGAAATCAATGACAAAAAAAAAAAAAACAAAAACAAAACCTTAAAAAATTATCTAAATTCATAAGTCTCATTAAATGAATTGATAAAGTAAGGGAATAGTCTCACCATGAAGAAAGCAACGCTTCGTATTTCAACAGTTTGAGCACAGCTGTCATTTGGCAAGAGGCAAAAATCAAGTGATTTTCCAGCTATTTAGACACAAAGCACAGCTTCAAGCTAATTAATGCTGTACCAGACTAGTCAAACTCTAATAAATTTGTACAGTGAAGAGTGGAAGGGGCTTACATAAAAATCATCACTGAGCTAACAATAAATGAACTTGTACTCTTCAGTGAAGCTCTATGAGGGAAACAGAACAAAATAACCCACCTTGCAGTTTTATACAAATAGACAGAAGCCTCCTTCCAGGTGGAAGAAGGATGTAGCTCTCTACTTGCACTAACTGTAAATCCCACAGTGTTAATGGCACAAGAAAATAACTGTCCAACTTGAACTATACATGGGAAGGGAGGCTGTGTTCATTGAAAAGGTAAGGAATAAAGTTCCACAGAACAAAAAGAATTCCCAAATCCCTTCTTTTAAAATAAATTTATGCTTTTGTACTGTCATTCATTTTGACTCACTGATTCATAACTGGAATTATTCTTCCCTAGGATGCAAAAAAAAACCCTATCTTATAGGTTGCTGAATTTATTTCTGCATTCAGTTCTTCCTTTTCAAAAGCTGGTTCTCACTGGCAGCAAACGACTGTGCAAACCAACATTAACGTCAATGATACTTGCTTCTTGATGAGCATACCAATCAAATAAGCACAATTATTTATACCACTACTGAGAAGAAAATGTACAAACACTGCTTTTAAACAGATGTTGATTAATATTGGCCTTTCCTTCCAGAAATTCATTTTCACCACCAATTAAACACTGTCCAGATAAATACAGTTCTAACTGTGCCCTGGATTTCATAACACTGATCTTAAGACCAGTTTCCTTTCTATTTCACTAAAACTATGATCCTAACCACCAAAACCCTTACTTACACGGAGAATCCCACCACTTCAGCTTTCTTTCGGAGCATCTTCATGCTGCGTCCTACTCTCCTCTTTATGCAAGAAGGATTATCAAGAATATCCTCTTCTCCAAACTTCCCCTTAAAAAGCTTTCCTCTGCTATGACACCTAAAGGAAACAACTCAATGGTGGCCAAACACCTATGCAAAGGTGTGCTCCTCTTTCAGGAGCCTTATTCAGCGTTACCCTTTTCTTCTCCCCCCTCAGTTGCCTTCTGATCCTCTCATTACATCCTCATACTGCAAGTTCTCCCACCTAGTGCTAAAAATTAAAATGATAAAAGAAATTACAATCTATGTTACAATTCTAAACTGGCTATCCAGTGGCTATAGAATTATAGGCTTGCCTGTGGCACACTGGAGCCAGGGGTGCGATGGAAACAATGAAAAAGTTGTTCCACCTTTCTTTTCTTTGTATTCAGTCAAGCACCCGCATTTAAAATTTAAAGATAAAAAACCCCTCAGTTATGGCCATGTGCTAACTAAAGCTTTCAGACCTTACACATTCTGATGTTTCACACTAGGAGCTATTGCCTACACAGAGAAAAAGAAACCCACTGCAAGCCAGAAACACTTTATGTTGGAAAAGCTACTTCAGCAATCTGTAAAATTTGCAAAAGATCTTATTATATCCTGCACCTAATATTCAAATTTATTAATGCTGACAGCTCCTTTTGCCAACAAAACTACCACTGAAGGAATGATAATTTCATTGTCTACAGGCAAATTAGTGACTGGCATCTCTGATATCTGACAGTGACCAAAACCCACCAGTTCTGACCAAATCACTGGTAACACTTTATACTGCAGGTACATGACCCTTATTTAAAAACAACATAAGGATGCCAATGGCCAGGGGAAGAAGAAACAGGAAATGCTACCTAGGAGAAAAGTTTACAGTCTACCCCTGCTGAACCATGGCTACAACATTACTCCTAACAAGTTGCCTACATTTATGCCACTCCATGAGAGGAGAGTATTTTACTTAAGGCAAATTTACTTGCAGGGAAGAGTTGGAACTCTTCACTAGGTACAGAGAGACTTTAAAAAAAAAAAAAACAAACAAACAAAACAAAACAAAACAAAAATCCATCGAAGTAAATTTCATGTAGGTTTCATCAGCACCTCAGACCTTGACAAGTTTAACTGACTAAACTCTCACAGGCATTTTTAAATATGAAGGTTCAAGTGAAGCAGCAGATGTGATCTTCAAGATCTAGGACTATCAACACTAACTAGGTTAACAGAGAGGGAAAGGTCAGACACTTTCAACAAGAGGGAAATAAGTAGCAAGGCAACAGTATTTCATGGCACAATTTAAGATATTCACAATTCTAGTTATACCATTGAAGATCCTTTCTTTATCAATAAGAACAACAACAATACAATTACCTATTTGGGGAAGACTTAACAGATTAGACAAATGAACACTGACTCAGACATAACTTTACACCTCCAAATCTTACTGCTGACCTTCTACTAGCTGGTCCAATGAGGAAATCTTCTTGGAGCCATCAATCGTGTAGATTGTTCTCACTCCCTGGGGCAGATTCACATTGTCAGACAGAGTTCGGGTCAGATCAGCCAGGAGAGCCTCAAAGGACCTAAACCGGTCAGGGGAGATGGCATATACAATCCCTTTGAAATACCGGTCTCCATTACGATAGAAACGAACTTTCTTGGCTTTTTTCTCAGAACTCAGGGTCTGTAGAGTACGGGTTCGGTAAAAGCTGCAGTGAGCACTGTGGGTAGGGCTGGGCAAACCGTTTACCCGGGACCCTCTGCCATATCGCTGTGCTTTATCACGCTCGTCAAAATGCTCCAGCTCCATATCTCTCCCAAAGGACATCTTGAAGTTCAACCTAAGGGATGCACAAAAGAACAGAAAAAGTTTAGGAAACTTACACATTTTAAGGGAGTTCACTTTGAGACTTCATGTTCTATACAGGGCACTTACAGAGAACTGCTTTCCAGGTTGAGAAAAATGTTTGAATGAAACCATGCTATGTTCACATGTTAATTTTACAACTAACGCTCTTGCCATGCCATAAAACCTAGTTAATAAATTAGGCTTTTATACACCATAGAAATGTCACTCACGAAACCAACCGCTAGCAATATGTAAATATTAAAAAGTGTTTGTTCAAATTCAGTAAGACCTCTGAAAATGAGGAGACAAAGTTGAGCTACTGGAAAAAAAGAACAAACGCATCAACTTTCTACTTTTTCTCATGTTATATTCAGGTGCTATTTGAGTCCAGTCTAACTTCTAGACCATTCACCCCCATTAAACTCTTCCAAATGTGATCTCAAGAGGTGCTATTTCAGAAGGGGAACCAGTCGCCAAAAAGTAAGCAATTAAGAACTTCTCAGAGGAATAGATATCACTGGTTGGCGATAAGAATCAGGGCTACCACTCAGTGGGTCAAGCCCACTGTTGAAAAGTCCTTATGTATTCCAAACACTGGCTTCCCTACAGCCTAAGCTTTGTAATAAATTACTTTAGTTGTCCTTTTGCAAATATTTTTCATACTCTGAACCATCAGAAGTGCTCAAAAGCCATGAAATTAAACAAAAAAAAAAATAAATAAAATATTAGAGGGAGGCAGGAAACTAGCATTTTTTAGCGAGCAAGCTACTCTAGTGCTCGGTAAAATTCGCAAGACATATTATTAATAACCTAGGCCTAATATTCAAATTGATTATGGCTGATAGCTTCTTTTGCCTATAAGACTATTACTGAAGGAGTGACAAATTCAGTGACAGTGGGCAAATTCGCAATTGGTGTCTCCCATGCTTGACAGTGACAAAAACCCATCAGCTCTCACCAAAATGATCCCAGTCGTTCAATATATAGTTGACATAAATGGAAGTTCACATGTTTGGCAACGAAATCAAGGAGGCAGATACTTCCCTTCCTTTTTACAACCAACACAAGACTAAATACTACAAATTGCTCATTAGTCTTCACAAATAAAAAAAGAAACAAAAATTTTAAAAAAAAAAAAAAAAAAAAGAAAGCTCAAGAGATCATTAGATTCAAAATGCATTTCTTTTAATTTAGGAGTCACCTAGATTTGCAGTTGCCTGAAGAACAGCAAAGCACAGTAAGTTTATTTATAGCACATATACACAGACCTAATTTAGAAGTGGTCTCTCTTATTGATTTCCAATAAAAAGAAAAAAGTAGCAAGCAGAAGCTTTGTTTCAACCACTCATAATTGTGTGACCATTAAGAGAAAAAAAATATATATTCAGACCAGCTGTAAAACAGTAGGAGGAAATACAGAAAGACTTACGGATGCTCTTTAGCTTACCGAAGTTTGTATTAAACCAGTGATTATACAGCTGGACCCTAATATTGCAAAGCTGTAGGGGATGTGCTCAGCACCTTCTCAAAGCAGTTCACGTGCGTGACTAGAATGAGCACCTAAGGCTAAGCAGTGCCAGTGCGGGGCCTTGGTGCAAATTATTTACCCTGCTTTGGTTACAGCTCACAACTTACTTTGTTACATTGGCACAGTATCATGTGCTTATGTATATATGCAAGATTTATATTTATAAATACTTTAAAGGTACCTAACATACATATAAGGTGCAGTATATACGTGTGTGTGTGTGTACATATATATACACACATAAAAGAAAAAGACTAATCTACGTTTTTCCTCCTCAGTATATACACACACACACACACCCCTCCACCCCACTTCAGTGAAAAGAACATTTGCTGTGGCATTTCACTGACACCTCTCTATAGGCTAAATACCAAATATCACCTAGTGGCCACATCTTAGGATCAAGATTACACCACCAATGTTTCCATGTGAAAAAAAAAAAATGTCAGTTGTTTTACTTCATTTCTAATTCCAATTAGAACCTGTTATTCAGATTGAAACAATCCCAGAACTCACAATTCAGAAACTGTATCTCAAAAGAGATGCCTGTGCCAAGAAAAATGGCTTTTTCTTAGGTCTGCTGTTTCATTCACTCAAACCATCTCAAACATATAGACAAAAAAAAAAAAAAAAAAAAAAGCAAGTTTACATGAATATACACTTTTTTAAGAGACTTTCAGCTTTACTAATTTTGGATGGGGGGAGAAAGAAGTGCGAGTCACTGCCCTTTCTTCCGCACACTTCTGCTTTAATCAATAACGGCTGTAATTCCCGATTATGCCCTTTGAAACAGAAATAGAGCTCCCCTTGAACACCACAGTCCTGCTATTACAGGAAAGCGTGTTCAAACCACAAGGTCAGAGCAGACAAAGAAATCCTAAACAATTCGATCTGATCCGATGTGTGTGTGTGTATAAATCCATGCTCATAGACATACAGATACAGAAAAATGAAAGGACACACCCCTGGAAAACCACCATGCCCAACACTTCACGCCCTATACATCTGTTAAAAAGAATTATTTATAATGCAGGTGTGGATGACCAATTACATAAAACAACCGTACATGCTGATAATATATACATATATATATATATATATATTGCAGTGACATGACTGGGACCCGGTGAAGATCGTTCAGAGACTAAGCAGCAGCCTGACTACTAAGTCATTGGGCTGGAAGGCTGGAAGGCTGGGGCGGGGGGGGAAGGACACGAGAAACGTGGGTACATGCGGCAGCGACCCCAAGAAAAAAGGGGTTGATAGTGCCGGGGTAGGGGAAACGCGTTGGAAATCCGACCAGCCCGCGAGAAGGCGGCATCAAGCCGCCAGGCCCCCGCCGCGCAGCGCGAACCGCACGGGGCCAAACCCGAGGCGCGTTCGCCTGCGGGAAAGCCCCGGGAGCGCCCCGCCAGCCGCCCCCACGGCACCAACCGCCGCGGGGGCCGCCCCACGGAGCCGGCCGCCCCACGGAGCCGGCCGCCGCCCCACGCAACGCGCACAGGTGCAACCGCGCCGCGCCTCAGAGGCCCTCGCAGCCCCCCCCCGCGCAGGAGCGGGGAGGAACGGCCGGCCGGCCCCGCTTACCTGTTCCCCGCAGCCCGGCGAGCACCTTCCCCCTCAGACCGGCCGGCGGGGCGCGGAGGGAAAACGGCGGCTCGAAAACGGGAAGCGGCCAAAGAGGGGGCAGCTCCCGCCCGCCCCCCCCCCCCCGGCTCCGGCGACCACCCGGCTTTAAGCGCGGTAGCTGCCGCAGACAGCGGCTCCGCTGCCTTTGTTACGCCTCCCCTGGCTGGAGCGCGCTGCTGGGGAGCCCGGGCTGCAGCTGCTTCGCCTTTCTTCTGCTGCTGCTGCCGATTGCAGTGATTTGCATTAGCCCGGCCCTCATTGAAATGCGGCTCTTCACACCAGCCTCTCCCCGGCGCTCTCTCCGGAGGGCGGCGCCGCCACCGCCGCCGTCTCTCCCGTGGTTTTTTCCCCCCTCCGCGGGCCGGCGCTTCCCCGGGCGCTGCGGGGCGGCCGCCGGAGCCGCCCCCGGCCCCACGCCCTGCCCGAGGGGGGGGGGGGGGCTGCCCGCCTGCGCCCCCCCCGTCAGCCCCGGGCCGGGGGGCGCGGCGGAGAGGCCGCGCCGGGCCGGTGGGTCGCGCTCCCGGTGGGTAACCCCCTGAGGTAATCGGTGGCCGCCCCGCCGGTCGCTGCCCGCCCGCCGCCTCCCGCCGGCCCGGGCAGGCCCGGGCCCTGTGTCTCCGCACGGGCAAGGCCGGGCCTGGCGGGGGGGGTGGGGGGGGGCAGCAGCCGGCCCTGCGAGGCCCCGGCCCGCCGTCCAGAACAACCGCCTCCAGAAGTATTTTTACCAAACGTGCCACCTGGCATTTCCATGAGGTTCGCCAGGTCCCGAAGGACCAAAAGCCCACCCGGTCCTCAAAGCCCCATGAGAGGGTTTGGGTGTCAAAGGTGGGATTGACGTGGAATTTAGTAAATCCGGAGCCAGATTTCCTCACGCGGCTAGTTGCAGCTGACCTTGGAGGTGACTAGCCTCCAGAGATGCTACAGTTTTTATGCTTAAATTTCCCAGATGTATTTGACCGAAGGTGTCCCAGGCATCATCTAACTCACTCTTACACCCTTAGGTCTTGTACCACATTTGCTAAGTCTACCTCCACACAAAAATTCAGCCGTAACTGATGCTTCCTTCTCAAAGGCTTGGTTATTCTTCATTTTAATATAAAAATCTGAGTGGTTAAAACATGCTTGAGGTGAAGGACCTGGTTTGCTTTCCTTTGTTCAACAAAGACTTCAACTCTCATCTACATGTCAAGTAAACAGCCCACAGTCCAGGGGGACATGGAAGGAAAGAAAACACAGTCTGTCACTTCTGTTGAAGCTGCTCCACTTCGTACTCTGAAAAAATTAAAAATGTATTAGATCAGAGAGAGGGAATTAGTCTGTAAACTCATGGTTATGACACTCAGTTGGGAAGGACAAAAGATGGCTTTGTGTGTCTGTATTATGGACCATTTCTGTGTTTCAGATTCATAAACCCAGAAGCAATCAGTGGAGCAGGGACCTAAGCCCAGAGTGCCCTGCTCCCAGTGACAGACCTCTAATCGGAATAGAGGCTCCCACATAATCTGTCTGAAGACAAATGAAGCTCTCAGTCTACAGAAACTGTAAGAGACTCAAAAGAAGAAAGCAATGGAGCACTCCCCTTCTTTTCTATTCCCCTAGAAGACTCTACAGATAGGCTCTTAGGAGACAGGAGATTTCCTAAAGGGGAAAAATTAATTGTTGCTGTGTCTTCATCATCCTGGAGGACTTCTTTAATCACTAAAGTATAGAGCAGAGACAGGACTCTTCTGGCTACACTTGTTTCCTTAGCTTTTAAAAGATAAACAAACACCTAAAACCTTCAGGAAAACCTCTGCTTGAAGGAGTGACAACACCAAAATACCTGAACATCAAAGAGATTCAGAATTCAAGGTACATCTCTGTCCTCATCATACTCTTACTACCTAGCATAGTTTCTGTGGATCCTGTTCTAAAACAATTCTTTCCCTGTGATCAGTGAGGTGCTGAGGCACCTTGGTAAAGATTGTTGTTTTTCAGATGCAAGTTCCTAAAAATGGAGCACCTCCACATTGACCATTTCACCAGCTGTATTAGTTTTTAGTCTATTGTTTCTGAAAACCTCTTGGTCTGTGTTTAGACATAACAGATATGGCATTATTGGTACTGTTGGTATACTTGACAGGAGAATGGAAACTAATTTTTAAAGAATTCTGGTAATCCTGCAATAAAATTCTACTTAAACCACTTATTTTGTAGGTCAACAATCAAATAAATATTAATTACAGTCTTAAATGATAAGAAAAATCAGGAGATCATAAAACTTAGAGACAGAAAAGACTATCATGGTCCTGACAAAGGATTATTCTTTTACATTCTTCAGTGGTGTCTTGTCCAGTTCTTTTTAAACGTCTCAGGTAATGGGGTTTCTAATTCCCAAAGGAAACATCTCTTCAAAGTTGAATTCTTTCAGTTATAAGGAATTTTTTCTGATGATCAGGTTAATGGAAGTTTCTTATGTTTCAGCTCATTACTTTAGCTATAGTGCCCTGCGTTCACGTACATAATTTATTTCTCCCATTGGTGTTTACATCTCTCTGACATGTATTATTTATGCCTAGCCTAAGTGTGCAAAATATTTCACAGATGTTCAGAAAAGATCTTCACTCTGATTGTGTTTAGAAAAAAAAAAAGAGTCAAAAGAAAATAATATAATATGAATCAATACTGAAGTATAAACCCAATAGGAAAGCATCTTTTAAAATGTTTCATTTTGTTCACTTATAGTTTTGTGTTTAACATGAAGACACAACACAATACTGTACAGTCTGTTCGCCTTTGTCATGCACGCTTACCATGCTTTTCTTTTTAAAGGACTTTAAAAGATGCTTTTCCTTTACCTATTTCATGTGTTTGTTCTCAAATTAAAACAGTACAATTCTAAATACAAAGAAAGCTTGCATAAATTGTTTCAACAGTTATATAGTCACTGTGTTAGAAACAGTGTACTGTTTTCCTTGTTGGACAGACTTTGGAATATTGTGTGTTTCCTGAGCCCTTTGTAACACATCTTTATAAACCACAATGCAGTCACTTCTTAATCCCAATTTAGAAAAAGTAACTTGGACTTCTCATCTCTGTTACTGTTAATCAGGTTTTTTAGATCTAACAGTATTCCAGCAGGACTGTTCTGAACATTTATGATTTTAAGCTCCTTTGTCAAAAGCGTACAGTAGAATTGGATTATGTCACCACCCAACACTCCTGTGTCTGAAGGCTGTACAAAATGCCTCGGAACATTGTTCTGGGAGCTTCTCTTTACTTGGCTAACCACTGTGACCCCTAAATCCTTTTCAGAGTCACTGCTTTCCAGGACAGTCTCCAGTCTTCTAAACGTGACCTACATTCTTTGTTCCTGCTGAATGACCTTGCATTCAGCTGTCTCGAAAAGCACGTTCTAATGATCCAAGGCTTACTAAAGGATGTCAATTTCCCTACAGAAATCCTGTTTTTATTTTGCATTATTTAGTGCTTTATGCATTTTATGCCATCTGCAAATTCTACCATTAATGCTGTTAAGTATTTCTTCAGATCACTCATAAATTTATGTAGTAGCAGACAACAGCATTTTCTAAAATGTGGGGCTCAATCCCCCGAGGCAGCGGTGTCGGGGGTGTGTTTAGAGCTCGTTCCACTCTGTGCCAGAGGCACGCAGCTCTCGGATGCCAAACCAGGCCAGGGGAACTGGTGCTGGCGCAGCTGCTTGTGCCCCCTTCAGCAAACGGCCCGTGCCAGGTCCCGGCAGGGATCTGAGCGGCTGGAGCCACACCAGCCAGCCGGGCACTGGGGGGGCCTGGGGAGGGCGGCCGAGCCCTGGCACCCCGCGCCAGAAACACGCCGCGGGAAAAAACTGCTCGTGGAAAAGAGCAGAACTCTACGGATTCCTCAAGAATTACCCGAGGGACGACGGTTAGCTGTTTATAGTTACGTTTGGAGATCTGTCAGTTAGCGGGTTTTTAATTAATTACTGTGTGTTACACTGATTTTGTATAGCGCTAATCACTTAATTAGATTGATGTACTGCTGTATGTCTGTTGCTTTACAGAAGCACATGTCGATGCAGTCGCCTTTATCAATCATATTCAGCAATGTCACCCAGAAAGCTACCCAATTTGACACGTTCATTGCCACTAATTACACTATCATTTTCTGTATTGATTATATTACGTATCAGGCCTTCAGTTATTTCACCTGCCACTGATTCCATCATAGCTAGAATTATATAATCAAGGTCATATTTTTTATGTTGTCCAAATTTAACCCTAGCTTTATCCAGGTTTTTAATAATTCCTTAATATTCTTTAATTTCTCGAATGGCAACATTAATTGTTCAGGCAGCCCAGTAATCAATTATTTTTAGAGTTAAACTACCCATGCATTAAAAATTATCTGCATCTTATTTTAGGCAAAAACATATGGCATTCATGACTGGGATGGGGCTGCATTATGCAGAAACATTAATTGAATACTTCTGTCTGTTCTGCATTGTTATTGACAATTTCAACTGTTTGCTCCTAACAGGTCCATCACATTTTTCGGATTTATTTTGTTCACAGTATTTTTGTTTAATTCCTCTTTGTCCTTAGTATCTCTGGCTGTAAAATTTCTCACTGATGACCTCTCATATGTCTGTTGTTGATATTTTACTTGTCCAGACTTAACAATAATGTGTAAATAAAAAGTTTTTTCTGTATTATCTGTCCTTTTGTATTTCTCTCCAGTGGGGATATTTTTAACAAAAGGCAATATTCTAACTGCCTAACTGAATTTTTGAATACGGTAAAATCATCCACTGTTAAAGACTCTTTTTTGTCTTGTTTATTATCTTATAACTGACTTCTTCAAGAAATTATCCCTTTTAAAAACAGGCTATAGACCAGGACTTAACTCTCTTTGCATACATCAGATATAATTACATGCTGGTCTTCGGATAAAACATTCTTAAATTTATTTTTACATGTTAGTCCACTGGAAAGAGCTCCCATTGCAAAGTGAACATGTTTTGTATTGGAAAATTATGGTATTTCACTTTTTGATACTCCTTGAAGATTATAACTACATCAACAAAAGACCTCCAGCATGGTTTGTCAGACTTACGTCTCTTAATTATTTTTCTTTCAGATATTGTTGAGCTGTTTCAGATACTATTATTTCAGATATTATTAAGGACATGTTTAAAAAGCTGTCTATCTGATTTGATTTCCTTGCCCATATTGATTAACAAATTTAACCTAAAGCCCTGTCATCTGGGATTATCAATTATAAACAAGCGATCCGTGTGGCAGGCCAGATTCTACCTGTGAAGCAACTCCATCCATCTCCAAAATATTCTCCATCATCAC